CAACAACAACAAAAAGAGTAGCTTCTGAGGCTGCTTATGTACAACTAGAAACCTCATGGGATTTTGTTCCTTGGTTTGGAGGCTTAGGGTCATGGTTTCATGGGACATTCCAGTTAATTGGTCTAATGACATATTTAGCGCTTCTGTTCTACCTCCTAGTTCTTTGTGTAGTGCCTGGGGTCTTGAAAGCTTGCAAACAGCCATCCAAGGCACAACAGTTGGTCTCTATTTGCCTGGAGCAACAGAGGAAGGAGAGTCATGGATAGGAGGAGGAAATGGAGTATGTGGCTAATTGCCTCCATGAACAACTGCCTCCTTTGTCATGAAACCAAAAGAACTGGATAGTGCCCAGCTACCATTACTGTACATTTTGATCAAAGATTCTATAGAAGAATTCTGATCAAAAGGGGGGAAATGCAATTTTCAAATTTCAAAATTTCAAATTCTCATGGACTCTAGACTTTCTGGAGCCATGGAGGCTGGATGAACTCCTGCAATTATTGCCCTGAGATAATCTTTAAACCTTAAACCAAAAATATCCCCTGAGATCTTCTTAAAACCAAACAATAGCTTAACTAGTAAAACTTGTCTGCCTTGAGCATTAAGCTCTTTTAAGATCTGTCTATACTGGATCAAATAGACAAAGCCAACTTGAAAGATTACATAGGAACCTTAGGGAGCAGTGAGTTTATGTTAATGGGGGAGAAACAACTCAGAAAAGGAGGGTAAGAATGGTTGCACAACTGGAAGAATGTAATCAGTGCCACTGAATTTTGCATGTAGAAACTGCTGAATTGGTGTACATTTTGCTGTGTATATTTGCAACAATAGCAACAAAATAAATAAAATTAAAAACAATCATTTTATAAGATGCATTATTTTGTGTAAGACGATCCTGTGTCACTCAGCATAATGCTTTAAGAATCATCCATGCTGCTCCTTATATCAGTAATCCAATCTTTTTTTTTTTTTAATCACTGAACAGTATTCCTTTGTATGAATATACCACAGTTTGTTTACTGACTTCTCCTATTGATGGATACGTGGAGTGTTCCAATCTTGGCTATTATGAATTAAGCTGCTATGAACATCCATGTACACATCTCTTTGTGAATGTATGTTTTCACTTCCCTTAAAGCCATTGCCATTGAGTCGATTCTGACTCATAGCAACACTACAGGGAGAAAACAATAAACTGTGGCATATTCATAAAAAGGAATACTACTCAGTGAGAACAAAGGAATGGATTACTGATATAAGGAGCAGCATGGATGATTCTTACAAGCATTATACTGACTGACATGGGATCGTCTTACACAAAAGAATGCATACTGTAAAATGATTATTTTTAAAGTTTTATTTATTTTGTTGCTAGAACAGCCAAAATAGTTTATAGTGGAAAAATTCAGTACAGTGGTTGCCTTTGGAGAGTCGGGACAGAAATTGGGAAGAGGCATGATAAAATTTTCTGGGGTGCCAGTGATTTTCTATATCTTAATAGAGATTTGGGTTACCCAGGTGTATGTGTTTGTACAATTCACTCTGCAAATTTTGCTTCAAAACAATGTAGGAGTAAATACTAACCTCTAGTTAATGAAATGCATGCTTAAGTTTTTAGTGGGAAATGTGGTGCTGTCTGCAATTTTCTTTGAAATTATTAGACACTAAGATGGGCTGATGGATGTATAGATAGATAGACGTACCAATGGTGATAAAATAAGCATAGTAAAATGTTAAGGGTTAGACAGGCATTCATTGTAAAATTCTTCAAATGTTGCTGTATGTTTGAAAATGTTCACAATAAAATGTTAGGAAAAATTCTCTTCATTTACCAACATAATATCATCAAAATCATTAAATATAATTTAGAAAACATAGTAAAGTAAAATAAAATACATCAACTATTGAAAACAAGGAAAAGATAAAAAGGAGAAAGAGCGAGCAGAGGATGGAGTGAATGGAAGCAGGTCAAAGAAGAGGCACAGAAAATGCCAAGTCAGGTGCAAGGACAGTGGGGACACCTGGGGTGTGGCAAAGAAGGCCCTGAGCCACGTGCCTCAGAAATACTACAGCTCTTTCAATACCCATGATCACATAAGCACCCCTGTTAGTCTGCCAGAAGAAATCCACAAACGTGACTGATTCATTAAGTTACTGCTCCAAATGGTTTTCATCACTTGGAAAAGGAAAAGAGCAGTGACTTAATACTAATCGGGCTTGATAATGTGCGTTTACTTGGAAAGGACCACCACCCGTCTGTCAGTTTATCATAGTGTGGTGGCTTGCATATTGCTATAATGCTGGAAGCTATGCCACCAGTATTTCAAATATCAGCAGAGTTACCCATGATGGACAAGTTTCAGCAGAGCTTCCAGATTAAGACAGACTGGGAAGAAAGGCCTGGTGATCTAATTCTGAAAATTAGCCGATGAAAACCCTATGGATCACAACAATATATTGTTCCATATAGTACTAGAAGGTGAGCCACGTATTTTGGAAGACACTCAAAATACACAGTGGCTCGAATAATGAACTCGAGCATACTAACAATCATGAAGATGGTGCAGAACTGGGCTGTTTCTTTCTGTTGCACATGGGGTCACCATGAATCAGAGCTGACTCAAGGGCAAATAATAACACTTCAGAGAGATGAGCAACAGGAGGGAACAGCATCACAGGACTCTGTTTAGTCACAAGGGCTGTGGTGGGCAGGGGCCCCTCTTGCAGGGGAGCATGGCAGCAGATGTCCTCAGCTGTCAGCCTTGCCTCACTGACAGCCTGCTGTCCCTGAGGAAGCAGTAAGGCAGGGGTATAAACTCCCGGTATGCCACCTAAAGAATGCTTTCCCAGAGCTCCTCATGGGCCAGCCCAGGCTGTGTCAGGCCTGCACCACAGGTCAATTAATCCTCCAGCCAGTCCTGCCTCCTCCCCTGTCCTTTCACAGTATTCACCCCTGTACATGACCTTGAACCTCAGTCTCTGACTCAGCATTGCTTCTGGAGAACCCAGCATGAGCAATGGTGAACACGATTTATTTCCTACATCCTCTCTCCTTCTACATGAAAGTTACTGCATGTGATTAGTCCAGCATCTGCGTACTTACTCAACACTCTCAACTGAGTCTAATGGTGGGACCCACATGCCCTGAAAGCCTGCAGATGCCCTGACGCTTTACCTGCACTGAGTCTTTCTGGATAAGGGGCTCAGATCCATGCCCCATCCTCATCATCTAAGGAAGGACACACAGTCTTGAAGTTCCACAGATTTACCATGTCAGTTGTGCACATACATTTATTCTAGAAGACCAGCACTCGTCTGGGACCAGACACTCATGGCATCTCATGCCCTCGTCTCCCGCTAGCTCTCCATTCAGATCTGAAGTCGGGTGAGTGCAGACATGGCCAGAGTCTCCAGTTATGCCTGGGTTCACCTTCCCTCTAGACTCAGTTGAGAGTCTAACCACTTCACCTAACATAGCTGACCAACACTACGCTGCCTTCTACGCTAGACCCGGTCCTCTCCTGCCCGCTGTCCACCAGCCATCCCAGACCAGCTAGGCTGCAGACACTTGTTTTTCAGTGACACAGAGCCGGGTGTGGAGAGACCCTTCTCCCAGACTCCATTCGTGTCCTCCCCCACCCCACCTCCATGGCTCCCTAGGACTGCAGGAGCATACTCCCACATCTGGAGTTCCCCAGTCTGACTACCCTGCACACACAAGAGGTTTCCCACTCCTCTTCACTCCACTTCAATCAGATCAGTCTTGCCCCACCCCTCCCCGCACCCCCCAGGCTCATGTGTGTCACAGCTCTCACTCACACTTCTCTTGAACTGCTGAGAGAGCCCAGAAGGACCCTACTACGCTTCCAATTAATGGATCTGGAGTTGGAAGTGGGCTCTTCCATGACAAAAGTGGGGCCTGGGAGGGGACATGTGGTGCTTGGAGGTGGGAAGGACCAGACAGGCCAGGTCAGGTCAGAACCATGACTTCTCACAGGCAGGGCAGCAGCATCATCAAATCCCAAAAGCAAGAGTGGGGCCATGAACGGGACAGAGCTGAGCACCCTCCATGGAAACAGGGCAGCCTGTGTTTGCTCTTATTGGCCTGTGGTCCCTGGTTTGAAGCCAGGGCATAGCATTCCAGTCTTCTATAATGCCTTCTTAGACTGCCTTTATGCTAACTTTTCAAAGGGTAGGTAAAGTTTTACTTTTAAGTCTGCCTTGATAACTCTGATGTCATCTTCTCCAAGTGCAACAGATTTGTTCACTTGATTTCTGCATGGTATAATTAGCAGATTGTCATAAGCTGTTTAATTTTTTATTCCCTATATGTTATTCTCATCTCCCTAATGAAATGAGTAAGCTTGGAATCTCTTTGTGTCTTTTTTTTTTTTTTTTTTTTTTACATATTCCTTTCATTTGGGCACAATTCACTCTTTAAACAGTCAAAGATTAATTGTTTTGCAAGAACAGTACTTTTCATAACGATTCATGTTTACCATTTAAGTGACCCATCCATCTAGTCAGTGGAAATGCTGTGCTTTACTGATATGTGGTTTCTATAAGTTACATGCTGTCTTTATACCTTTACAGTATCCTGCAGAAGATACACTGCATGGTGAAATGACAAAGCGCCAAGCAAAGGGATGGATCACACAAATCAAAACTGGACAATGAGTCCCTCAATAGGCATCAGTTAGTTTTGCAAAAATAATATATATTACTGTTGTACATATTATTTACATTATTATTAATGTATATAAGTCATTCACATACATCAGAACTTTGGCTTGAACTAAGATGGTGGTTCAACATAAAGGAATTAGAAAAGTCACCTGTTGTAAGATTTTATAAAGACTTGGAATATATGGGAGGGAATAATTTTGGGTTTCTGGGGGGTAGGAAATGCATTGCCATGTATTTGGACATATAATAAGGCCTGTTTCACCAGTCAGGAGATTCTGACAAGATGGGGTAAAGAGGAGACATATAATAAATACCTTGATCTTGGCAGCTTCCAAGGCTTTTTTGCCATCCCAGGCCCAGCCTCTCTTTGTAAAATAGTTGACAGTGGCAAATTCAATCAAGGCGGAGAACACAAAGGCATAGCACACAGCTATGAACCAGTCCATGGCCGTAGCATAAGCCACTTTGGGCAGAGAGTTTCGAGCGCTGATGCTGAGAGTCGTCATTGTCAGCACTGTGGTCACCCCTGTGGTGGTCAGTAACAGTGCAGCAAAGCAGGGAAGGGAAACAGGGTTAGTATTGACACCCTGAGTCCCCCGGTCAGAAACCCCTATATGTAATAAATTTATCAAAGAAGCTGACTATTTCCTCTCCAGCCTGGCCTCTCCCTTCTCTGAGTTTAGATGTCCATCTATTTACCTTACCCCTCCACCTGAAGCTCAGGTTTAGCATTCCAGAACATGCTCCTTTGCTCCTTCCTCCGTGCCCCCTCACCATGCTGGGACACTGCCCCCTACCAGTAGCTCATACCAAAAGCACTGGAGTGATTCTCAGTTCCTCATCCTGGGCTCTTGCTTTCTCTCACACCCAAAGTTCACTCAGTCACCAAACACTTGTCTCTACCTTCCAAACCTATCCAGAATCTGAACACTTCCCACCACGCTAATCTATGCCACTATCAATATCTCTCATTTGTAATATTGCAAGAATCTTACAACTAGACTCCCTTCTTCAGCCCATTCTTGAAACAGCCAGAGTGAGTAGTTAAAATGTAAGTCAGACCATGCTTCTTACCTACTCAAAACCCGCCAAGGTCTTCCTATCCTCAGTAGAAAAAGAAGTTCTTATCAGTGACCTCCAAGATCCCCCAACACACACACACACACACACACGCACACACGCAAAACCTCTCTAAGCTCATCTCCTACATCTCCACCCCTGCTCAATCAACAACTTCCACCCGGCTCCCTTGTTTCTCCTCAAGCTGCACTGGCTGTTCCCTCTGCAATGCACCTTCAAAGTGGAATATTGCTGGAGGCCATAGCAGTTGTGAGTTCTCCTTCCACGTCTCCTTTACAGGTACTTATATATACTCATTGACCATAGTACCATGTATGGAATTAATGTTTGATGAGAAATCAATAGGCATCTTTGATTTTTCTTATAAATTCAGTTAATCATTGTGTTGAGTAAAGAGTATTCTGAGCATGACATTAAACATGTTTCTTGAGTCTTCTTAGGTCCCCTAACATCCTAAGGTACATTGAGAATCTCCAAAAGGAAACAGACTGTACTATGCAGTATTTTCCAATCTAATTTTTTTTCCTGCCCACCTGTTAATACTCCCCTAAGGAGTGTTGGGAGGTGCATTGACTTGGGCAGCACTGACTGGCCACAGCCTGCCTCCAAAGCTTCCTGAGACATCCGTGAAAGGTCAGCCAAGCCAGCGAAATACGCTCCTGTGCTGTTCACTCATGGATGTCCCAGGCTCTCTGGCTTTCTATACGCCATAGGACCATTACAATAAGACACATACTGACATTTTCTTCTTAGAAGAGGGAAGGGCAATGGTAAGAGCTGACATGAGAATAGTACTTTACAGTCTGGAAAGATGTGAGCATCTATTATCACAACTGACCTGCAAATTCACCTGCAGTATCTCTCTGGATATGAGGAAACTAAGCTCCAAGGTAAAACTCATGCTGTCTGCTGTGCGAAGGCACCTCCTGAACTGGGTCTTTCTAAGCTTCATCATATTGTCTTAGGGATGCCAAATAATGTTGTTCTAGATTACTATTACACACATATTTTTGGTTTATTACTATAGAACCATATGTAAATGTTTTGATTGCCACTCGGTAGTTAATTTTAAGTGGCACACACGTCAAATAAACCTCTATGAATTAGAAAGTAGTGTATTATTAGAATGATGAAAATACTTCCTGCAAAATCTCACATAAGACATGTTTCTGGTGATTTCAAACCTCAGAGAAGGTTATAGTGAAAAGCTTTTTCAAATGGAAATGATTCTCAAATGTATCATGCATTATTCCCTAAACCCTCATTCTGAGAGAAATCCTAAATCCTAATCCTTAACATAAAATCCTGAACTCACTGGTCAATTTGTTTTTTCAGGTCACCATACCGAGGCAGCACTGGTGTATTTGTTGTTGGTGGTGCCACTTTTGGATGGCTAGGATCGGGGTCCAGGCCTGGCCTGGGGACACTCACCAAACACCGTCCTAGCTGGGACCGACTCCCGGTTCAGCCAAAAGGACACCTGGGATAAAATCACGGTCATTATGCAGGGAAGGTAGGTCTGGATGACGAAGTACCCAATCTTCCTCTTCAGGTGGAAATGTGCTGTCATGATTGTGTATTCACCTGCAAACAAGCAAATATCTGCATGTCACCTAAAGTCACCGAGTCCAGGAAAGGAAAGGACCAGTAGCTCCTGCCTGCAGGGTCAGAGGGCTTCTGTAGTTCCACGGCCTCCATCTGCTGCTGGACAAGTGCTTAGCTGTGCTATCCGGGTTAAAGAGAGAGAGAGGAGGATGCATAACATTTTTAACCATTTTGTGTAAGTATGTCTGTTGGCACCAGCCTCAGAAGAGCCTTGGCTGACCAATGCTTTCCCTAGGAAAATCAGATTTGCGTGGTTTGCTAATCCCTGATCACAATCTGTGCCTATCATTGCTGCCCTCTCCCTCCTGCCCCTTGCCTGCTGCTGCAATCAGGATGTAGACTAGCAGAGTGCAGGACACGACAGAGTTTTCTTTCTACTCCCAACCCTAGGGCAACCAGGAGGGCTAGGCACCTGGATGAACTTGGGTGCCTCCCTCAGAGTGGAGGGTGAGGAGCCGGGGCTAAGGAGGTGAAGAACCCAGGAGCTCCCTTGCTGGGCACCCAGCAGGAAGACTGAAAACCCTCTTCCATTCTCTGAGCTCGGGCATGTCCTTGGTGAAGCCCCAGGGCCTTCTCTGGATCTGCCTGGCCACGTGGGAGGTGCTAGGGGACCTCCCCCTCATTGCTGACAATGATGCTGTCCTGACGGTGAACTGGTAAGGACCGAGCTGGACTGCAGTCCAGGGTGGGTGCAGGCCCGCTGGACTGCAGGCTCTCTCCTGATGAGAGGAGTTCTCATCGCCCTGGGGTATGGGTGGTGGGTGAAGGGCAGGGGGAAGGGCAGAGTGGTGATGAGGGAGGATGTTGTTTTGGGGGTTTTGCTAGGAGTGAATGGTGTGGCCATTCAGGGAGCATGGTGTGGTTGTGTCCACAATAGGCTTGGGGGCTCCACTAAAGGCTGACCTGGTTGGGGGCTGATCTACCAGGGAGAGTCGATGGCCCGCTGCCTGGGCAGTTGCTGGGATGTGCCCTACTTTCTTCCTACCCTTTCCTGTTTGGGGCTAATGGCACAGCTAACACTCATGCTACCCACATCAAAGCCAGCAGCGGTGACCCCCGTGTGCCTGTCCTCACAGCATGCAGCGTGCAGGGTATGGATATGGAAGGACCATAGCAAACATGAGGGGTGAAATGGGTCCTCTTCCGGGAAAGGAGCCTGCTCCCCAGCAGCCTGTGCCGCGAGCTTCTCCATCAGCTGAGAGCAGGCTGAGGAGAGTGCAAGTACAATGAGGGAAAGAGACGGAGATAGAGAGAAAGTCTGGCTCACTAAAGGGCTCCAGCTTTGCCTCTCCTGATGCTTGAAGAAGAGGGATGCCTTTCTACGTCTTTACGGTAGGGTCTGCAGTTACTCTCCTTTCATTTCTTTGACACTAACTTTTGTCCAACCGCCTCTTCATTCCATGAGGTCTGTTCGGCTTCCCTCTTTCTCTCACTTTAACACTGCACCCACAAATGCCTACGTGCTGGTTGGGGTGACGGTGTCTGCTGAACAGGAATGCGCTCAGCTTGCCGGGGGGTGCTGGGGACCAGAAGCCACCCTGGTGGTTCTGAGGGCTCAGGGCTCGTCCTGAGTGAGGCTCAGCCTATCTCCACGAGGCTTTTCTCTTCTCCCCAGCCCTGAAATGCCCCCTACACAATGCCTGGTGACATTTAGAGGCTTTACGGACAGCCTGCCCTGGGCCAGGAGGTGTCTGATGATGGCAGGCTCAGGAAGTGGAACCTGCCTGCTCCTTTGTGACCTCACCACTCTGTTCCCTTGCTGGTTCAGGCCAGCCCCCCGGCTGGGCATGTCTGCTCCTGGAATGCCTCAGGGGTTCTTCTGTGCTGCTGGTGGCGCTTCTTTCCTCAATCCAGCCCCAGAGAGATCTTCTTCAATAGATCAGAGCAGGAGGAAGGGGCAGGTAAAGGAGTGTTTGTGGGAATAAGTCTTAAGATTCCTGCAGAGATCCCCCCTGTCTGTGAGTCTCTGTGCTCTTCTGTGCTCTGGGCAGGGGTGAGGGTTACAGAAGTGGGTCACGGGCCTCCATGCAGACCCGGAGTCACCAAATACTGCTCCATCCTTGCTGTTCATGTGGTGGCAACTGCAGGGCAGATTAATGCCTCGGTCATGCCCTGATATCATTAAGCTGGGCCTTTGTGCAGCCACAGAAGGGGCTTCACTTGAGGGCTCTTCACAACAGCTGGCCCTAGCTTCCAGGGAGAGGGTGCTTGGCCCTACCTGCCACGGAGAGGGTGCTGGGCCCTAGCTGCCAGGGACAGGGTGCTGGGCAAGAATCCTTGTGCTGGGGCAGGGTGGGCACTCCCTCCAGACTGGTTTCCAGTGGTGTTCTGCTGCTATCTTGTAACACTACCCCCGTCCACCAGGCCCCTCACCTGTGCCCCTCGCCCGTGCCCCCCACCCGCCGGGCCCCTCGCCCGTGCCCCCTGCCCACGGTGCCCTCACCTGTGCTGGTGCTGATGTTCTCGGTACCCACTGTCTGCCCCATCAGGTGGTACTGGTTCAGTCTAGAGCCATCTTCTGCCACCACCACAGACTTGGCAGTGCCGTTGGTCCACACGTAGATGACTTCAGAATTAGGGTATGCATCTGTGGGGGCAGACGGCAGAAAGAAGAAACATTGTGTCATCCCTAGTCTGGCACAACTGAAGGTACTTTTTAAAGAAAGAAGAGACATGATTTTAAAGTCTGAAAAGTTAACATTAAATAACATTAAAAAATGTGTAGGGCGGTCAGAATAGGTTAGACGCCACCACAGTTCAAGTCCTCGCCATTCTACAGGTTTGTGAGCTCACACTGGGCCTAGAGACTTCTGCCACTTATCTTGCCTCCAGAGTGGCACCATCACTAACTATCATGTTGCCGGGACAGCATGTGACCTCTGGTTCAGAGAGGACAAACGCAGAGATGCTCCAGGTCAATTCCCAGCCCTGTGGCCTTGGGCAAGTTACTTATGCTCTATGCCTCAGTTTCTTCATCTGTAAAGTAGGGTAATGTCAGCATCTACTTCTTAGGGTTGTTGCTCTGGTTTACACAAAACACGTAATTACGTAAATGTGCACAGTACTCAGTGCCTGGTCATACTTGCTGTTATAAACTTTCCACTTTCCAAGACCCCGTCTTGAGGAACATTTCCTAGGTGGTGAAGTGGGGAGGCAGACAGAATCATGGCCCGCTGGTGTCACACCTGTGGATATGTTACCTTACATAGCAAAGGCCCTTTGCAAATGGAATTAAGGTTATGGACCTTAAGAGGAGGGATTATCCTAGGTTATCAGGTGAGCCCAATCTAATCACTTGAGTCCTTAAAAACAGAATGTCTCCCACTGGAGTCGGGTAGAGACTCAGGTCAGAGAGATTCTAACAGGAAAACTACTCAGCCAGCCACTGCTGGCTTGAAGATGGCCTTAGGGGATCACCAGTGTGGGAACTCTGGAAGCTAAGCACAACCCCCGGCCACAGCCAGCAAGGACACGGGGAACTCAGTTCTCAGCCACGTGGAGCTGGAGTCTGCCAATGGGGTGAGCCTGGAGGCCAGCCCACCCCCAAAGCCCCAGGAAGGAACTCCCCTGCTAACACCTTGATTTCGGCATCATGGGACCCAGAGCAGAGAAGCAGACCAGGAGAACCTACTGGATTTCTGATGTACAGAACTGCTGCTAAGTGTGTGGTTGTTATGATGGCAAGAGAAAACTAAAGTAGATGGGGTGGAGAAGGAGACAGGAAAGTCTTCTGCTGAAGAAATTACACTCCAGAGGAGGGAGACAACATGTCACTCGTAGACTATGTGATATGTGAGGTGGTGGTAAGTGCTGTGGAGGAATACAAGCTGAGGGGCCAAAAGACACAGTTGTGAACTGGGTGGTTTGAGAAGGGCTCATTTAGAAGGTGGCCTGGGGGCATGGCACATGGCATGTAGCCATCTGAGGAGGAAGGGCATCCCAGGCAGAGGGAATAGCAGGTGCAAAGGCTCGGAGGGGAGTGTGCACTCACAATGTCTGAAGAAAAGCTAGGTGTCTGGGTGTGGCTGGACAGAGTGACAGTGGGCAGGGCAGAGGAGGAGAGCAGGCACATCATGGCCTTGAAGCCATTGTTAAGGCCTCTGACACTTCCTCTGAGTGAGCCAGAAGATTCTGAGGTATGAGCAAATAAGTGGCATGCTCTAATTTACACTGTAATGGGATCATCCTGGTCTGATGGGAGCAGGGAAGGCAGGCAGAGAGAGGGGCAGAAGCAGGAGGCTGCTCAGGGCAGCATTAAAAAACTCCAGGGGAGCACGAGGTGGTGGCTGCGGCAGCAATGGAGAAGAGAGGACATGCCCGATGTGTCTGATGGACATACTTGTCAGAAGCCCCGAGAAGCTGGATGTGAGCTGTGAGGGGAAGGGCACAGTCAGGCGGCCACCTAGGTGGCGAAGATTATGGGGGAGCAGGTTTCTGGTGAGCGACAAGCAGTTGAGGTGCTGGACATTAGGGCTTACACCACGTGTGTGATCGAGTCTGGAGCTGACACTATCTGGTGGATGGACTAAGCATGGCTGAGGAGACCACCTGGCCTGAATGCTGGTGTGGGGGAGTGGCGGGGGGAGCACTGCCATCCAGGGCACCCTGTCAGGGTTTAGAGTTCAAGAAGATGAGGAGACGGCAATGCAACTCAGAGGTAGCTGCAGCAGTGGGGGGACATGGGGATGTGCTGTCCTGGGGGCCAAGCATCAGGGGCTGCAGACACCTCAGATGGTGGCTGAGTGATGACCACGGCTTAGCAGCAAGGGGTTACTAGAGCTCTGGCAAGCACAGTTCTATAGCAGTGGTGGGTCAAAGCCCAGGTGGCTGTAAGGAGTAAACACATTTGTCTCTTCAGTTGGTCCTGACCACTTACATTCGCACAGAGGCCAACAGTCACCTCCACAGTCTGACCATGACTCTGCACAGACGCCTACGCCTGGCACTCTGATGCCTTCACAACAAGGGTATAGGACACAGCCTGAACTCCAGGGTGGACAGAACTGCATGCCATCCCAGGGGAGAACCTGGACTGGCCCCAGAGGTGGGAGATGACCCAGAGATCTGCTCCCAGGGAGTGTACCTGAATGTATCTGCTTACATGGGAACCCCTCCACCAACTCTCCACCAGAAGAGGCTGGAATACCCCACTGTGAACAGGCAAAACCACGTGCTTATATGAGAGGTCAGGAGTCCCTGGGTAGTGCAAATGGTTAACGCGCTTGGCAGCTAACTGAAAGGTTGGAAGTTCGAGTCCACTCACAGGTGCCTCAGAAGAAAGGCCTGATGATCTACTTTCGAAAAATCGGCCATTGATAACCCCAGGGAGCACAGTTCTACTCTGAAACACATGGAGTGGCCATGAGTCAGAGTCAATTCAAAGGCAACTTGTCATATCAGAAGTCAGGATAGGCAGAAGTCATGTGCTTGTATCGGGGGTCTGGATAGGTAGAAGCCAGAAAAACGGCCTCTAGAATGTTGCAGGTTTCTGCTAAAAAGTGTGGAAGTTTCCTTGTTAAGCACATCACTACCCTGATTTTTGTTTCTTTGTACAAAAGGATATTCATAACAGTTTTAAAAATAATAAAACAAGTATGTAAGTACCAAACATTGAGCTTCACATAGAGAAAAATGCCAGAATCTGCAAAGCCCTCTGTGTGACCCTCACCAAATGCTTACCTTCCTCCCTTTCCCAAGGTATTATTTGGAATTTTTTAGTGTTAAATACTACATTGTTTGCTTTGTAGTTATCTTTAGGAAGGGGTCACTAAACAGTATATTGTTTGGCTTTGCCGGTTTCTTTTTGCTCATTTGATTCATGTATTCTGTACACATACTTTGTTATCTGTGTTGCAAATACCTTCTTCAAGTCTGCGGCTCTTTCACTTGGTTCATTTTTTTAAATTAACATTAATTTTAATTAAGTAAAATTTATTACACTTTTAATTTACAGTTTACTTACTCTGCATCTTATTTCAAAACTCCTCCCCTATCCCGAGGGGTCATGAAATATTACGTTTATCATAAAAGCTTTAGCGTGTTGCCCTTCACATTTATGGCCTAAGTCACCTGGCACTGCCTTCCATAAACATTTGTATATGTAAGTCTCCCATATAGTAGCGCGCATGCAGTGTTTCCGTGGTTCCATTGCGATGATGAACTGCCTCTCCCATCCCACTAACATGCACGGCTCCATATGGGCCTGGGGTCTTTCCCCCCGGCTCCCTGCTCTGCTCCATCTTTCTACTGCTGCTTCAGTGCCCTGTCTCTATGTGCAGACTTTCTAAGATCTCTGAACCTGTAAGAATCGTTGCTCTTCAGGAGGGTCTTGGCTGTTCTCAGCCCTCTGCTCATCCATACATGTGCCAGGATCAGCATGTCAGGACTCACGAGAAACCCTGGTGGGATTTGTATTGTAACTAGATTGAATCTATGTGCTAATTTGGGGAGACAGGCTATCTTGTGATACTGAGTGTTTTTAATCATGGAGATGCTATGTCTCCCGTTGACTGAAGTTTTCTATATTGAAATATCTTTTGTCACAGTTGTACAATTTTCTGCATAATAGTTTTGTACATTTTTGCAGATTTCACCTCAGACATGTGATACTAAACACTCCCCGGCAATAAACAGTGTGTTCGATCTGTGAGTGGAGGCTGCACGAGTGTGAAATGAGAACCATGAAAATGAGTGACATGATTCAAATATTTATCTATAAGTATTAACATATTAAATAGAGGTAATAATTAGTAACATATTAAATACAGGTAAATACAGTACACCCCATTACAGCAATGGGTAAAGTATCACGGACGAACAGTTCATACTGCAGTTACAAGTTGAGTAGTATTCTAGTTGTCTTTTTTAGCAGCGTGGCATCTGTTTCAGGTAACTTAGAAGTGCGTTTTCACAGGGACAACACTGGAGCGTGTCAGATGTATGTGCATTCTGTTCTGGATTACCTTCTATACTGGAGCGACGAGCTAGCTGCCTGTGGTGATGGAGGTGGGGGAGCGGTGTTGCCATCCCCGTTGGTGTGCTGCACTCTAAATCTCTGGTCCCGGGCATCACTGTGCACCACTGCCAGAGTTCCACATAAAGGACAATGAGATCTCCATCTGCTTCCTACTGTGTAAATTTTACAGGACCCTGAGTCTGCAGCACAAAGGCACAAAGACAGGTTGGAGCAGCCATGAATCCTGGCCAGGATGTGTGATGTGTACAGGAGATGGCAGTGAGGTGGCATCTTCTCGTGGGAGGAAGGCCCTGCTTCCTGCTGGGCCGGCCAGGGCTGTCCTGTCGCCTTTGCACCTGTTCTGCATTTCCTCCCCCAGTCACCTGCCTCACACTAGGTAAAAGGGACTGGGTGTAGATGCTGCATTAACACTCCCCCCTCCCCATCACCGTTTCCCAACCCACAGGGGAGCTGTGAGTCTGGCCCTGATGGGAAGAAGACCCCACTCCCCACAGGCTTTGGAAGGAGTGAGAAAGTTGTGAAGCTCAAGAAGAAGCTCAGATTTAGGGCAGCTGATCTTCAGGGCTATCATGGATTGAATTATGTCCCCCAAAAAATGTGTGTATCGATTT